AAAACAACTTGCTATGCTCTGTAGTTCTGAGACTAAACTCCACTGGAGAATGCCTATAGAACAAGTGTCATGGGGAGGTTCAGAAATATTTGCAATTCATTTACAAGTAATTTGCATAACCCTGGAGAGAAAAAAATGGACTCTACCTAGGAGAAATTTTCACTTCTACTTTAAAAATTCTTTTTTCCCTAATTCTTTCTCTTTGCAATGATACAACTCTACTAGTCCAGATATGTAAGCCAGAGGCAAATGAGAAGTTTTGAATTAGAGCAGATGGCTGAGGACAGTTTTTCAAAACTAATTCCATTTGCTGTTAATAAGTGTTATCTGGGGAAGAAATTGAAAAACACTGTATTAGTTCAATATAAATAGGATTCTTTACTAAAATACTTGTCAGTACATCTTTTTTTTTTCTTTTAAAGAGAGATTTTTGCTATAGATCGTATACTCTCACCAGAGAGACAAAGGGAGACAGAGAGAAATAAGGCAAGAAATCACCCCTACCCCCTTCCTCCCACAAGAAGGATGCCCACACCACAATCCCTGTCCTCCACTCTCCTTTTGAGTTTGGGCATACAAACACGCGCACGATGTCTGTTTTAAGCTGCCGGGTCTGGGACTCGAACCATGGTAGACTACATGGGAGTCCCAACAACAAAACCATTAACATAACCATAACCATCTGCTGATTTCACTTGTCAGTATACTTTATATGTTAATGTGCCATGTGAATCTATTGTTTAAAATATAATTTTCAGCACTATTGTAATTTGCTTAATTTCCTCCCCCACAAATCCTACTGTAGTAGTGTACTAGGTCATGAGTAACCAAAATGCAGTTTAACTATGACTTGTAAACTCCTAAACGACATCAAATGCCATAGAGAGAAAAATGAAAGCCATGTATTCCTTAAGTGAATACTTCTTGGCTTCTTAAGAAGCTGGTCCTGGGACCAGCAGTTAGTGTAATGGCTATGTCACTGGACTCAAATGTAGTTGACCATGGTTTGAATCCTGGACCCTGTGGCTTAAACTCACACCAGGCATGAGTGCCAAAGATCCTTAGAGAAGAATGGAGGAGAAGGGATTGAGGCATGACCATCTCCCCTGGGAGGTGAGTTCTTGCTTTCTGTCTCTCTGTCTCTTTCTGTCTTTCTGGGGAGTGCATGTGCCCTATAGCAAAAAACCTCTCAAAAAAAAAAAAAAAAAAGAAGCTGATCCCTACACAGATAAGATCTGGGTGTGGTTCTTGGTCAAAATGCAAAGCAGTCACGTAATATGGATAGGTGTTTTCCCAAACATACAACTATACAACAGAAGATGAAGCTGAAAGTGGCCATAGGAAGACTGGTATCATGCCCAATATGTAAAAGTTGAAAATGAAGCTTCTTTCATTCTAGGTGTACAAAGAAAGGAAAGTTGGAATCAGTTCATCCCCAAGCTCCTCCTGCCCCCACTTCTAGCAGGCCTTCAGGGGTTCATAAAAATTTGGGAGTTAAATGATAAAGTTAATTATGACACGTTCTTTGGTGTACATAACTCCCTCACATTCTAAGTTTGTGTGAGAAAGGGTAATTTGTTATTTACAAAAATGATTAATATTTGTAGAAAGAGGTGCTATTAAATAAAAAAAAAAAACCTTCTTGTTTTGATCAATACTCAGATGGGACTAGATGAATTAAAGCTTACGAAGGCTGAAGAGAGGTGAATCATTAGACATAATAATTCAGATAAGAATGTAGGGTCCCCAGAGTAATCTGAGGGTAGAGGAAACAAAGAGATAAGAAAAGGAAAAGGAGGAAGAGAGGACATCATCAAAGGATATAAAAGGTGATGAGGTGACATGCAAAGTGGTGTTGTCAAGGGAAGATATCTCAAAGATGTTTGTAATTATACGTCTAAAATTCAGTTTTACATTGTGTGCAATATTGTGATTATAAAATCTTTTGTCTCTTTCTTATCTTCAGTAAAGTCTAAAAACCACTGTAGAAACTGAGCATGAAGCAAGTTTCACGACACAGAATGAGGCATGGACAGACAGAAATTTGACACACAAAATGATGTAATCCAGCAGAATCAAGGGCTTATACCATAAGAATGTAAGATGTCTAAAAAAATAAAATAAAATAAGGACCAGCAGTTGGCGTAATGGCTATGTTGCTGGACTCCCATGTAGTCGCCCGTGGTTCGAGTCCTGGACCCTGTGGCTAGAACTCACGCCTGGCGCGTGTGCGCGCGTGACCAAGATCTTGAGAGGAGAATGGAGGAGAAGGGATTGCGATATGGCCATCCCTCCTGGGGTGTGATTTCTCGCTTTCTGTCTCTGTCTTTCTCTTTCTGGCGAGCGCACACGCCGTATAGCAAAAACCTCTCCAAAAAAAAAAAAAAATGTCTAGACATCAGCAGAAAAGATAGAGAGAGCCTATGCTTGCATAAGGTATATAGTAGATAGTTCATAATCTTACTTAGCTCTTAAGGAATAGGGAGATCTCTGCAAGTATCTAAGAAACAGAGAAAGTTATGATTTTTTTGCAAAAGAATCCATTCTCTCCAATGACATGTGGCTTTCACTTTCAAAAAAATGCCAGTGATTCCCAAATGAGCTGGCCTATATTCCTAATGATTCATTGACCACATCATCTTGGTTTATTGGCCCTTTAAATTAAGCATGATACTGACTATACCTTTCCTACTTTCTCCTCAGACCATTTTCCAAATTCGTGAATGCCTCCATCACCCATGTACGTCTCAGACAGAAACCTTATCCTTAACTCTTTTTCCCCATTCACACCACATAGCTAACTTGTCACTAAATGGTCCTAATTTCTACTACTTACATGTCATCCTCTCATATTGTTTCTCACTTTCTCAGGTTAGCTTGTTAGAGAAGTGCTAAGCACTAGAACTTAATTACCCATTCTCTCCACTCCATTTATCATCCAGGCTGGGCCAATTATTACCTAAAATACAGGTCTGGTCAAGTCATCATTCTATTAAACATCATTATCTAGCTCCCCATTGCTCATAGGATAATATTTTCTGTAGCTTGACTAAAAGATTTCCTGCAAGTGTATTCTTGCCCCAATTCCAAGTTCCATCTCCTGTCATTCTACTCTGTATTCTCTCTTTTTTTTTTTTTTTTTGAGAGGTTTTGGCTATAGGGTGCGTGTGCTCGCCAGACAGACAAAGAGAGACATAGAGACAGAAAGCGAGAAATCACCCCCAGGGGGGATAGTCACACCGCAATCCCTTCTCCTCCATTCTCCTCTCAGGATCTTGGGCTACTTTGTATTCTATACTATTAGACCATCCATGCTCTTTTCACCTCCAGATCTTTTCTTCTCATTTTCTTGCCTTTCTCTATAAAGACCTTCAATCCAAACAAGTATTCATGCTGTCTACCACACTTCAAAATATTAATTAAAAATACAAAGTCTGGAAAAGATTTATGCTCTTTTGTCAGATTATATTTGCATTATTTAATATTTTAATTCAAGAGAATATGTACAATTCTGCATGTATTGTTACATGCATGAGAAAGAGCTACAGAGATACTTGGTGATTGCTCAAATTATAACTCACATGTAACCACTACTCTTCATGTTTTTCTGGGCTTGACAAATGGAACACCCACTGCTAGAGAGTAACCATTCAGAGAGTGCATGTAGTGTAAAGGTTACAGGAAATGGCTTGAGAATGGAGTTTGAGTGTCTGCTTCATCATTCAGGGTCTTGTGCAAAGCATTTTACTTATATGAACCTCTTGGGACTTTTTTTTTTTTTTTAGAGATGTTTGCCATTGGGTGTGTGCGCTTACCAGAGAGACAGAAATAGATAGCAAGAAATCACCCGCTAGGGAAAATAGCCATGCCACAATGCCACAATCTCTTCTTGTCCATTCTCATCTTAAAATTTGGGGCATGCCTGCACACATGCCTGACTTGAGTTTTAAGTCACTAGGTCCAGGACTCAAACCACTGTCAACTATGTGGGAGTCCAGTGTTGTAAATATTATGCCACCTGCTGGTCCCATGTTTTGTTTTAATCTATAAGTCAGTACCTACCTTTTAGGGATGTTATGCAGAGCAAATGGAATTAGGTACATAAAACGTCTTGGGACCAGCAGTTGGCATAATGGCTATGTCACTGGACTCCTATGTAGTTGACTGTGGTTTGAGTCCCAGACCCGGTGGCTTGAACTCACACCAGGCACATGTGCATGTGTGCCCAAGATCCTGAGGGGAGAATGGAGAAGGGATTGCAGCATGACCATTTCTCCTTTTCTGTCTCTCCGTCTCTGTCTTTCTGACAAGCGCACACACCTTATAGCAAAAACCTCTCATAACAAGGAAAAGTTAAAAAAAAAAAAGTCTCTAAGGAGAAAGGACTTTGTAATTTGTAAAACACTGCACAGAGGTGAAAAGGAGTCCCTTGAAAAGAGGATTAGATATGGATCCCAAATACATGATGTTAGGAGTTGACCTATGTCAATGTGTTAAGTTCCTAACCCCTGGTACCTGTGAGTGTGACCTTATTTTAAAATAAGGTCTTTGTAGAAGTAATCAATATGAGATGAGCTCATTAGGGCAAACTAGTCCTTATTCAACAGAACTGGCATCCTTGAAGGAAAATAAGAAGACATAAATACACAGAGAGAAGGCCATGTGAAAAAGGAGGCAGATTTTGGAGTGATGTGTCTACAATCAAGGAACACCAAGGCGTATCAGTTATCACCAGAATGTAGGAGAGGGGCATGGAACAGGTTCTCCCTTGGAGTCCTCAGAAGTTACCAACTCTGCCAACACCTTCATTTCAGACTTCTAGCCTCTAGAACTGTGAGATGATATATTTCTATTGTTTTAAGATATCCAGTTTGTGAAATGCTGTAATGGGAGCCCTAGGAAACTAATACATGGACATATGAATTTTAGCCCCATCATTTACTAGCTCCATGAAGTCTAGTAAAATTATAACTTTTTCCTAACACTTTAAGGACACTTACCTTTCTGTGATAGTTTCTCTGAGGCCACTTGCCACCCCTTTGACCACCGTGCTAGCTTTGGGAGTCAGCACCACCTGAGATATAAAAAACGAGCCCTTCTTTCTTCTCTCAGTGATGGATGCCTGAAGAAACTGGATCAGTTTTTCAGGGTCTGTGGTGTTGGCCCAGGGGGCTGGCATCATCTGCCCAGGCCAGAGAAAGGGCACTTCCAGAGCCACTGGACTATGGTAGAAGACCAGCACTTGATAGTCCTTCTCCCACAGGTACTTTAAACTAACTTCCTGGGCAAAAATCGCTGGGCACATTTTGTTTCCATAGATGTCTTTCAGCATTTGGACAAGTTTTTCATGGTGATATTTTTGCATCCCATAAAAATGGTTGAAGTCCAAGAATACTACCTCCTTATGGTGATCCGTGAGGAATGCATTGATCTCCTCAAGGCCTTCATTGACTTTGGCACTGAACAAACCATGAGCAAAGTAGAGTTCATTGTCGGGGTCTCTGGGCTTGGTGGAAATTCGAAGATCAAAGTAACGGATGCCCGCCCCTAGCTGACCAGTAAAGTTCATTGTTTGAGTGGCTAACCATTTCCTCATCAGTTTTTTGGCCACGGTTCCAAACACAGACACGAAATTCTGGACTGTTTCTGGTTGTTCAGGACCTACTGGAGAGGCTTCATCAATGTAGAAACTGAAGGAATCATGAGACCCTAGGAGAATAACAAGGCACAGTGTGGTTAATTTCTAGTCCTTTATCTTTCCCAACTTCTCTCCCTCTTTCTTTGTCCTCTCCCTTAAACAAGCCAGAGGAAATACTAAGCAATATTTATATACTTAATTCTCATGTCTTGAGAGGGTCCTTTTTATAACCTTGTAGTATATAGAACACTTCAACAGATCAATTGATTGTAAAATAATAAGTTTTTTTCTGATCAATATTTCAAGATTCAAGTGATTATCTACGTCTTTGAACCAAGAGTTAAATTCACTCACTGGGATTGACTTTCCATATAGAAGGCATAAGTGATTATTCATAAATAATGAATGGCGTTTAAGGAAGTTACTCATTCCCAAATACTTACAGTCCTACTCTTTCTATCATTATGAGTTGATTTTAAGTCTAGAGAGCTTTATCAATGTATAAAGAAGCTCTTTTTACAGAGGCACAATTTGTGTATGAATTGTCATAAGAAGAAACTCCAAGAGGTCAAAGGGATAGAGAAAAGAAGGAACAAGAAAAGATCAAAGTACAAAGATGATATATTTAATTTCATTTAGACCTAGTGTTTGGGCAGTTATATACTTTGAAGAAACAAAGCACTTTTTATGTATTGAATAAACAATTTTCCTTGCAAGTTAGCAAAACTGACAGTACTTAAAAATTTAACTAAGAGGGGCCAGCAGGTAGCATGGTGGTTAAGGTACTGGACTCCCACGTGGGTGACTGTGATTTGAGTCCTAGACCCAACAGATTAAAACATGCTAGAAATGTGTACGTATGTGTGTGTGCCTAAAATCCTGAGAGGAGAAGGGACTGTAGTGTGGTAGCCCTTCAGAGATGTCTCTCTGTCTCTTTGGCAAGCATTCATGCCCAATAGCCAAAATCTCCCTCATGAAAAAAAAAAGAGGGAAACAGCAGTTAGCATAATGGCTATGTCGCTGGACTCCCATGTAGTCAACTGCGGTTCGCGTCCCGGACCCGGTGGGTTAAAACTCACGCCGAGCACATGTGCGTGCGTGCCCAAGATCCCGAGAGGGGAATGGAGGAGAAGGGATTGCGGCGTGACCATCCCCCCTGGGGGGTGATTTCTCGCTTTCTGTCTCTATGTCTCTCTCTGTCTGTCTGGCAAGCGCAAGCGCCCTATAGCGAAAACCTCTCCAAAAAAAATAAATAAAGTTAACTAATAGACTATTTCCTCTCTTCTCAACAGTGAAAACTATCTTTGGAGTTGGCTTTGAAATTTAGAAGAATTTCTTCCTAGGATGAATCAAGATTATTTATTCAGTTATTGGTTTTTGGCAGTTACAAATACCCAAACCAGAAATACAGTGACAAACGTGTGTACGATTTGCCTATAAGTACACAGTGCCATCTAAACTATAATTCAGAACAGCAAAAAAAAAAACTTGTTTTAAGGTCGAATTTTATTTTTAAAATCTCCTTTAATTCTTGGGCAGGACCTACAATTAGAAGAGTGTATCCTGAATGCTTCACCCATTAGAAAGGCACATAGCACTTAAATGCTAGCACCCTTTCCTCTTTTAGGACCTTGCCCCTGTACCTTCCTTCTCCAGCTGTTAATCAGGCTTCTCCTGAGTACTTCTGTTTACCCCTTCTAAGTCTCTTGAGGAACAGCTGGGGAATTCTTGATCGAGAAAAGACTTACTCTTAGCACCAAGAAGTGAAGATTCAGCTTCCTTTTAAAATCAAAATGTTTGAAAGAACTTTCTATACTTTCTCATTAAAACTTTAACCCTCACCGCACCTCATAACCCCCATCATTAAGTTTCCTATATTAGTCTTTTATTTCCAGTTATTCAGTGAGTTATTCATCACTAAGCACTCACCCACATACATTGTATATGCACAAATCAACCTTTTCTTTTCTCCTGTTAATTTGTCTGCTATTAGTTAATTTGTAGGCCTCAAACACTGGAATCAAGATGGAAAAGTTGTCCTCTCAGCATAGTGAACAGCGAGCAGCTTCTTAAGTGCTGAGGTCCTCCTGCAACTGAAGAAAACAACTTTCTGCCAACAATCAGCAAGCTTGTAAAAGAAACCTTAGCTACAAAAGAGATTTCAGTCTTGGTCAATACTTCAACTTTAGCCTGGTGAGATACAGAGCTGAAGACTCAGCTTAACCTGGACTCATACTCCTGACTCACTGTGAGGTAATAGATTTTTTTTTTTTTAAGAGAGAGTTTTGCTACAGGGCATTTGCACACACCAGAGAGACAGAGAGAGACAGAAAGTGAGAAATCACCCCTCAGAGGGAATGGCCATGCCACAATCTCTTCTCCATTCTCCTCTTGGGATCTTGGGCACACATGCACATGCAACCAGCATGAATAAGCAATAGGACACAGGACTCGAATCGTGATTGAATATGTGGGAGTCTGGAGATGTAACCATTATGCCATCTGCTGGTCCCAAGATAATAGATTTTTAATATTTTAAAATTCTTCATTCATTTGTCTGCTAGAAGATGTATCCACTCACTGGATGGATAGAGAGAGAGGGAGAGGAGAAAGCACCCCTCATGGAGCAAGGTCACATTGCAGTCCCTTCTCCTCCCTCTGTCCGTCCTGCTAGGATTTGGGGCTCACATGCTCACGGCCTTGCATGTTTCTCAAGCTACTGGGTTTGGAACTTGGACTACATCTGTCAGCCATAGGAGATCTGGCCCTTTAATTTTTTAAGTTTATTTACTTATTGAGACATAGAGACAGAGGTCCCTGACAGGATCTTTGCATGCTGCAATCCTTCCCACTGCCTCCCAGCCAGCCAGGACTACAGGTGTTCCACGAGCTCAGGCCTTGTATGTTCAAACCATCCCAGGATCCAGACCTTGGGCTTTTCCATCCGGCTGCGAGTATTGCATGACAGAACAGGACTTTACTGCTTGTGCCACCACAGCTGGGATTTTAAGTCACAATATTTGTGGTAATTTTCAATATGGCAATAGAAAACAAATACATTTAGTAAACCGCATTTATCTACTTACTAAACACTTTAATATCATCTGTATAGGTAGCATTATACAAGTATTACAGTATGGGTGAGGTAAGTGCAAATGTTATGTTAAATTTAGACTTTATGTTTAAAGAGATACAGTGACTTGAGGTAACTACATTATTCTGACTAATCCCCCCTCCCCCAAAATTGGAAGTGAATTAACTTTTCTGATTTTCTTTGCTTCAAGTAAAGTGATATCCATCCATGGAAAGATATCTTTTCTGATTTTTGTTATTCATTTATCATTCATTAAAACATTTATCAAGAATCTGGTATAAATGTTATTATTATACTAAACACAAAATAAGCATTAGTACCACTCACCAGAATTTACAGCCTAATATGTGATGCAAATAGGTCCATAATTAGAGTGCATCTTGGCAACTATTTTTCAGGAAGTATTAGGTAGTGTGGTGTAAGAAGAAGAAAATGTGTGATAACTGATTATCCATTGGGCTTACATAAATAGTTGCAAAAAAACTAGTTTACTGTAAAAGTAGCCTTGCTTTTTGAATTCAATGCAAAAAGACTCTTGGGAGCCATGTAAATTGAATACAGATGGGAAACTCCATGTCTGCTTGATTTTGTCTTGACTTCTCATTGTGAACTAGTAAGAAAAAAAAAATACAACCCTCAGGAAAATCATAATTTAATTAGAGAGGTAAATGGAAGTGCTAATATTTCATTCATAATATGATAATTTATCTTAAAATAATAAAACTAATAGTAAAACTAATTTATCTTAAAATAATAAAAACTAAGCTTCAATCACATTGTATGTATGTGCTGCCTCTATCACCCCTAGGGTAGCAACATGCCATATTCACTAACCTGGACCTCTTAAAGAAATGGCGGGAATTCTGCTGGCCTGAATGGCGACCTCATTCATTTGATCCTATTATACCGTATGATAAAATAGTCTGCTGTAATATCATGATTGGTTAAGTGGATTTTAAGCTCACTCGCAAAATAGACATGTTGATTTAGAAGATTTTTTTCTTAAATAAAAAGTTTCAGACTAAAGATAATTCAGACAAGAGAACTAAAACTAGCACCTCTGCCTCTACAAGGAGCATTTCATTAAGTCACGTTACTGTGTTATAATTTTAGCTAGTGGAAAAGTAACCAAAATAATGTGAAATTATCTAGAGGACTACCTGACATGCAGATTCATTTTTACTATTGCTAACGATCAACTTCATCCTAAGTATTCAAACTAGTTTGTGTAGACTATAACACTACAGTAAAAAAATATATTTTAAAATAACACACATTTTATCTTTATTAGTACTTATATCATTTGTATGTAAATATATTTATATTACTTGATAAGCATACTCACATGATTTAGAATAAATATAGATATATCAGGTTATTATGTTGGATATTTTTAACTAATAGAGTGACTTTTTATTTGGTACACTAGGAATATTAAATGGAGGACACAAGTAGAAAGAACTGAAATGAAAACATACTGCAGACACAAAAATACTGAAAGCCTAATGAAATGCTACTGAGTCTACCTATAAAGCATCTGTGTGAAACATAGCACAATTGCAACTCGGGCTCTCAGCGCCTGGTCTTAGTGCCTCTTGTTGCAGGACATTGACATCAGAAAAGATCACGTGACAAATACCACTATTTAATACTTTCTTACTTCCCATCCCCCTACTAGAGGTAAGAATTATCAGTGAGGGAGTATTTCATCAGGATTTCTCCTTCCAGACATAAAAAAGGTGCGTAAGAACACAGATCATATCTGAGTTTCTGAGCAAGAAATGTTAATTTATAAAGCACAAGGTAAATTACACTGTGTCCTTTGCAACTGAAGCCGAATGTTCCAGTTTAACGGCCTCTGTGAATAGACACAGGTACCAAGCTGCTGCTTAAGGCTCTCTGTATATCTAGTGCCCACTCTCCATCAACACCATGTCTGCTGTTGATGTTGATAATAACCGTGAGACATTTCAAGAG